AACTAGTATAGCATATGCAGACGATGTTGCCATAGTAGTTGTCACCAAACAAATTGATGAGATAGTAAGTCTATTTGGTATAACATTTAGAAAAATTAATTGCTGGATAGAAACAATGAACCTCCAATTAGCACAACAAAAAAGTGAAGATGTTCTTATCACAAGTAGAAAAACAATAGAGACCATCAAGCTGAAGATAAGAAATCTAGAGATTACGTTAAAACCTCACATTTGTTACCTTGGTGTAATGCTTGATGCTCGGTTGAATTTCAATCAACAGGTGGAACACGTTAGTGCTAAGGCGTCAATAGTTAGGACGAGACTTAGTCGCCTGATGCCTAATGTTAGTAGCCTTAAACAAACCAGAAGGATATTACTATCGTCAGTGGTTACTTCAGTTATGACACATGGTATCTCCATATGAGCTGATGCTCTCAAAACTCAAAAATCGAGGAGAATGGCAGGACCTATACATCGTTTGAGTGCTTTAAGAATTGTTTGCGCATTTAGCACAATATCGGGGGAAGCAGTGTGCGTCATTTCAGGAACTCTGCCTCTCTTAGTCTTAGCAGAGGCAAGACGGACAATTTATCATAGAAGACTTCAACAACTGAGTCCTGAAAAGTTGAGCTTAGAAGAACGGCAGAACAGCATTGACCTATGGTGGCAACTGTGGGATGTCGCACAGATGGATGCATTGTCTCATTTCAAACATCAAAGTCTGGCTAAGTCGCATGCATGGAGAAGTAAATTATTATACTACGCAAATGCTATCTGGGCACGGCTGTTTTCGAGCCTACCTGCATCGCTTCAAGCACGATAGCTCGCCGGATTGCCCATATTGTTTGGGCGAAATCGAAGATGCTGAGCATGTGTTCTTCGTGTGCCCGCGATTTGGTGCTCTACGGGACGATGTGGAAGAGACATTGAGACGAAGCATTACCCCAGGTAATGTTGTTGAAGTGATGCTGACAAGTGAAGCTGCTTCGTTCCATGGAAAGAGAAAGGGCGAATGGGACTTCTCCCATTTAAAAGATGAGTTTAAGTTTAAGAATTATAACATTCATTATAACAAGTTAAGAATTATAACATTCTAGATCTTCCTCCCCCCACAAAGTAATGCCTAATGGCGGTTTCTATGCAGACCAGAGGCAAGGGCAAAGCGGAGGTTTTACTCGGTATTATACCAGGGCGGTATTGAGTCCGGCATACCCAGACAAAACACCAGTCTGGAATGCATAAAAGCATTTCTTTCACTATACAAAAAACACACGCATACATTCATTTTTTCTAAGGTATGCCAAAATATTCAGAAACCTTTGAAACGTAAAGATATATAAAAAAAATTATTTTCGATTTTTTTGCGATTACTATATATTATTACCCTACGGAATGTTAATAATGTGTAATAAAAATAATTGTACAAAATTTGAATAATCTGCAAAAGTTTTTCTCAAATCAAATATCAGTATTTTCAAAAATTTTCAAAATTTTCAAAAAGCCAATATTTTCAAAATTCCAATTTTTCAAGATTTTCAGAAAAATTCGAAAAACTCTAATTTCTAAATTTTAAATTACGTTACGAGAAGTTACAGGAATTTTCCTTGGCAAATAACGTTACCATTTCTTTTCTGACGTTGCCAAGTATCACTTCAATTTTTTTTTATTCATAGTACATACAGGTATCTAACAAGCAGGTTGTTGGGTAAATAATTTTAATTTCTGACATTTAATTTAATTGCATTTTTGCATTTGCAATTTCAGAAATTGCTGTCAATTGTAGAAATTGTAGGTTGAAGATCCGATAAAGGCACATGGAACGAAAATAAGTTATTTACAATAAAGTCAAATGCAAGAAACTATAGTTGAAAAAAACATAAACCGGCTCAAACCATTTCTAAAGCTGATACAGGAATGATTTTTTTTCTTATACCGGAAGTCTTTGTCATCAGCTGGTCAACCTGATGTACACCAAGAGAATAAAATATAACCATCAACGGCAAACCCGTTTCGCGAAAAATAACACGAGACCTCTCACAAGTTTGGTAACTCAACCACAAAACTCAAACTCAAAAACAAAAGCTTTTCAACCTTGTAAGGGATACAATGCCACACTCTACACCAGTCATAAAATTGGATAAAAACCTTATGAACTAAACCTAACCTAAGCTGAAGCACTTGTGCCAAGCAGTCAGATACTTTATTTATCTAATTCTTTGGTAATTTTCATACATTTGAATATAGAAGTTTATTTTTTTAGTGAAGGGCTATTTGAACTCAAGAGTTTTTGCCTTCCGCAATATTCTCTTTTATAACGTATCGTTTTATATAAGCAGTGTATTGCATATATCATTTTCAATTATAATGGGTAGTTGTATTATATTTTATTATGAAGTAATGAGAAAAAATTCAAGGAAGCAAGGTTGAATACTAGGATTGTCCCTGTCAAACCGGGACATCGTTGTTAAATTTGAAAAGCATTTTTTTGTTAAATGTTTTACCGATGCTCTACTACATTACATTCAAATCACCAAAATTTTCAAATTGCCCCCCAGTGGCGCGTGCGCCCAACGTTGGGAAACACTGCTCTGCACATTCTTCATACTTATTGGCACCATCAGAATACTATTTGTTTCGGCCTCTCCAAACTTTTTTTAGAATTAAAATCTTAAAAAAGAAGAGATTAAAATATATAAGTAATGCAAGTAAAATATATAATGAACTGCCAATTGATATTAAGATGATCAGTGATGACAATAACTTTAAAAGAAAAATAAAGAAACATAATAAAAAAATTGTGGACGAAAAATATAGAAGAGATAGGATATTGGCTTGTTAATGTATAATGAAGGAGGCATAAATGATATTACATGACTGAGAAATGAAAATATTATATGAATGAAAAAAAGAGTCAAAAACATTATATGCAGAAATAGTTCCATGAAATTGAATTGAGTTTATTGAATATTTAGTCTGATAGTTTTTTTACCAACAAAGACTAAAATTTTTGTCGGCGTGGAATTATGTTGCTATTAAAAAATGACAAAAAGTTTTTAACCAGTCAACCAGAATGGCCAATTTATAACTTACTAAATTATTTTATCATTTTATCATAACATTATCATAAATGTAAATCTAAGAAATTACTTTCTGATCTAGAAAAAGCTTATGTACTAAGTTTTTCTGTAGTGATTTGAAAATAATTAAAACAAATATTTTACTAAATGAAATAAATACATATTCTTTATTTATATATTTTATACATTATATGCAGAAATAGTTCCATGAAATTGAATTGAGTTTATTGAATATTTAGTTTTTAATTCAAGATTTAAATTTTCAAAATATATATATATATATTAGGGTGGTCCTTAATATGAATATTTTCGAATTTAAATGCTCCCAGAGGCTTAAATGCTTCCAAATTGATAAAAAAATTCCCTAAAAGTTTTAGCTCTTATTATATACTTTTAGATAGTGCTCAGTTCAATTAATGCTTCGTAAGGAAATAGCATGTAAAAAATTCCGAAAAGTTTAAAAATGTTTTTTATGTATAACTTAGCGACAAATGGTTTAAAAGCGACAATTTGTGTCATCATTTATTGATTCGACGCTCTACAACACAGGTTTTCTTTATAATTGGTTTTGAAGAGCGTCAAACAGTGATTCCTTTGTTCGCTAAGTTATATCTAAAAAACATTTTTAAAATTTTTGAAAATTTCCCCGTGCTATCCAACACTTTGATTGAATTGCGCACTATCTAAAAGACAATATTAAGAGCTAAAACTTATAGAAGATTTTTTTCATCAATTTGGAAGCATTTGAGCCCTTGGGAGTAAGGAAATTCGAAAACGTCCATGTTAAGGACCACCCTAATATATATACAGGGTGGCTGATATGTTTTGCATCCAACTTCAGATTGCTATTATTTCTAAACCACTCGTCAGATAGCTGACAGATTTATTCCAGTGATAGTTCATTTTGTTGTTTACAAGCCTACAAAAGCATTTTGATCTATTGCATTCAGAAATAAATCGTGATCGAATTAAAGCGTGATAGTGTGATTGTTTTATATTTGGCTGGAAAACCACAAGTGGCTATTCGTTTGAGCCCTCCAGCAATTAAATGCAAATAATTTTTTTATTTCTTTTTTCTAGTTTTTTGTTTCTTGTTTTCCTAACCGTGATACTGGCAGTGTTGCATCGCGTCCAAAAAGTGGACGCTAACAGCACTAAAAATGATCCGAAAAGTGAAGGCAAGAATTGATCGGAATCCACGCCGCAGTGGTAAGAAAATGGACAAACATTTTGGCCGCAGACCATGGACATTCCAACAGAACTGCTTAAAAAAGATGTTTATTTCGACGGCCCAATGGTTACCAAATTCTCCGAATCACAATTCGTTGGACTTTGGAGAGTGAGATTCGCACTAAAAAATACCAAAGTGTCGATCATATCAAGAAGGCGAATCGCCGGGAATGAGTCAAAGTACCGCAGAGCCACTTTGATTTGTTGCTTTGTCGGCCGTTTGAAATTCGCAATTCGTGCCAAAGGCGGCCAATTCGAACAAATTTAATATCTAAACTGATTCTAAAATTTGATGTTTTTTTCGACATTTTTGCATCTGAACAATAAAATTAAAAAAATAATGGAAAAAATGCGCTTGACTTTGTTGCATTACATATCAGCCACCCTGTATATATACCAATTTTCATAGATAATTATAATTGACTGCCAGTATATATATACTCCTTTCATGTTCACTATTCAAGTAGTATTTTCTTAGAGAGTAATTTAATATTGTCTAATTACCATGGTTACAGAATGCATTTGAAAAATCTTATCTTAAAATAATTTATGTCTTCTAAGCATAATGAGTTTATAAAACATTGTTATTAACAAGTTCAACTACAAGTTCAGCCATTTTTTCTCTGCAATGTGAATTAGCACTGACAGGTACGATGGGATCATATTGGGCTTCTTCATCTGAGATATAGAGATCTGGAGCATCATCACTGTCACAAGTCATTATTGGGAGCATGTCCAAAGCCAGGCCAAGACCGAAAAGACCACAACGGTGAAATTCTTCTTGTAAGCTATTAGATGAAGAGAAAACGATTATGGATTCCAATGATGACAATAAAGAGAAAACATATGAATTATGTGTAAGGAATAGATTTTCAATGATAATTTGCGATTTGGTTGACGAAGTAGTTGCCAAAATATTTGAATTAAAAAAATCTGGTCAAAGGATAAGAGATGGTCATAATTCCTTCAAATAAAACTTCATAGAAAGTTCTTCTTCAGTTAAAGAACAATTTGTTTCAATTAGCTGACTAGAATAAATGCAAGATCCAATTTGACCTAATTGTGATAATAAAATTCTTATTGTAATTGTGATATTATGATGATTATAATCTATTATCTACGATCAGTTTGATGATTTTAAGAAAAAATGTGTTCTAGATGTAAATATTGTTTAAAAATACTTACGCATTCCAAAGAGCATCACTATCCTGCAATAAATCGCTCAATGGTCCCATTTCTGACAAAGTACTGAACAATTCATTGTGATATTCTCTCAAAAGATTCTGTAGATGCTTAGACCGTAGTGTACTTGATGTGCAGATGTAGAGTAAATTTGCTAAATCCAAAGCCAGAGATCCGTAGCGTACCATTTGAAAATCGAGTAGACATATCTATAAAAATAATCCATTTAGTTATAGAAAAATAATAAGTTAAGAGGGTATACTAGTGTAGAGCGATAAATTTTAGGTCATTTTTAAAGTATCATAAAAGAAAGCAATGAATATTTTTACTATCCATTTTTTTACCACTTGTTTATTAATATTATTAAAATACAAAACAAAAATTAACTAATGGGGTGGGTGGCATCGTGCCTTAAGGCAAATTGCTGGAACTTCCCGTACCGTAACGAAATGTTCGAGGAATACTGAATGTTTTCAAATAGATTATTATAAATATTGTAACATTGTCTAATATTTTTAAGAAGTATATAAACTGAATTGTAAATTATTTGTTTAAGTTATATTAGAACTTTAGTCAGAATAAAAATTAAATCTGAATTATTTTCGATATACTAGTGGGGTGGGTGGCATCGTGCCTTAAGGCAAATTGCTGGAACTTCCCGTACCGTAACGAAATGTTCGAGGAATACTGAATGTTTGCAAATAGATTATTATAAATATTGTAACATTGTCTAATATTAATAAGAATTATATAAACTGAATTGCAAAGTTGAAATTATTTGTTTTAAGTATATTAGAACTATAGTCAGAATTAAAAATAAAATCTGAATCATTTTCGATATACAAAAAATTAAAAAAAAAAAAAAAAAAATGGAACAAAAAATTTTTTTCTCCAAAATCAATTATTTTGTTAAGACAAGCAGAAAGTTCTTTGAATCATTCAAATCGGACGCATAGTTCTCTCAAAAACTGCCATTTTTTACATATTTAGCTCCGTATCTTTGAAATGGCTGGGCCTGCCTTTGCCAAAAATTAATAAACCTTCTCCCAATCATTACTAATTGAATGTTTTTTAGATCATTGAAATCGGATACTCCGTTCTCTCAAAAAGTCGATTTCTATTTTCTGCACTCTTAGCTCCGTATCCTCGAAACGGCTGGACCTGCCTTTGCCAAAAACTAATCAGCTCTTTTCCCTATCGATAGGAATCGAATGTTTTTTGAACCATTCAAATCGGTTGATCCGTTCGCCCGGAAAACGTGACTGGAAATTTGTATCCATACATACATACACACACTCACACACACACACACACATCCATTTTTTCTGAGGTATGCCAAAATGTTCAGAAACCTTCAAAACGTCGAGAAATGTAAAAATTTTCAATTCCAATTTTCGGCCCATTACAGTAACTTACCCTACGGGAAGTTAAAAAGAAAAAAGTTGAAAATTGTAAAAACTGGCAGCTGATGAAGTGGGTGGTCTAAAAAAATTGGCATCTCAGTCTTGACATGATTTCAGCCTTCGGAGCCATCGAAAATGCAAAAAATAAAAAGATTATTAATCTACAATGATGTCGCAATCGCCCGAACTAGCGATGAGTAAAAAAAAATTTTTTTACAAATTGGCGACTGTTTAAAAAAACGTGTTTTTTACTGTTTTTTTGAGCTTCTCGAATTTTTTAAAAACAGTAAAAATTGGAATTTGGGGATAGTTCTAGTTCGGGCTATAGATAAGTCTATAAACAATACTCTCTGAACATTTCAAGTGAATCGGTCGATTAAAACTCGAGAAATCGTGTCAACAGTACTGAAAAAGTCTGTTCTGATTATGAGAAATACGCATTTAAAGTTTTGCGTGAAGCCAAACCAGTATGGAAACCGATTCAGTAAAATCTATATCTCCGAAAATAATTTAAATTTTTAAAAACCTTCTCGTATCCATATTCTTAGATAGTTAAACTTGGAAAATATGAAATAAAAAAAAATCGATTTATTTGAATTTCTACACTAGAATACCCCCTTAACCGCTTTCTTTGTACCTCCAGAATATTTCCAGCATCCGAACACTTAAACATGATGTTGTTGGTCCAGCAATCACCATGACAAAAGACTGCTAGAGGTTCACGAGGTGCAACTAGATCTACCATCCGATCGAAAAATGAAGATTCATCAGAAGTCTCAACGAAAGCTCTAAATCTGTCCAGGTATTTAGAGCAAGAATCTTTACTCGATAAAGCTTCTCGGACCTATAAATTAATATTACATCACAATATAATTATTTATTTTACAGAAAGTGTATAAAAGTGTCTATGTTTACCATGGCTACTGCGTTTTTGGTGGCTGCTTCATAATATCCGCTATACCATTCTTTATTTTCATTGGCAAACATTCCTTCCGCAATTGTTTGACGTAACTGATCGACCTCTTCGGGAAAATGATGCTGTAATAAAAACATAATATTAAACAAAGGTTATTTTGCAATTTTCTGATTTTTTTGGCATATCTTATATCCAAAAAAATTATATTATATGGAGATTGCCACTACATCTTCAGATTTCTGAAATTCCATTTTATAATAATAATATTTTTCATGATTTGCTTTTATAATATGCTGCTTTGGCGAAAAATGACAATAAACAAGTTTTGTTTGTGTCTTTTTAGTATCTTATTAATTATTATACCTTCATTGCCAATGATAAAGCGTGATATCGTGCCAGTTCTTTTAAAATTGCTGAACATTGAACTACTGTTAATCCTAATTTGCGATCTACCATTTTGAATCCACGATGTTTTAGATCTTCTGCAATAGGAATAAAAATGTTTGTAATTTTGTAAATACATTGCATTGTTGGGAAAGTATTTGATTTTTTACCAAAAGAGCACAGCTAATGTTTATCATAATTGAGCCGTTCATTTTGAAAGTGACATTAGTCTATTTTTATCTTTTATGAAGTTGGACACTTGTGACATTTATAATTATACTGAACCGTCAAAATAAGTAATTTTGTATTGTACTATACTTAGTAAATTTGAAAATTATATCAAGCACATTTTTAAAATAATATAAACACTAAAAATCCTAATTTTGGAAGTGGCCTAAGACAACTAAAAGTTTGTGTATTTTTAAATGTTTACTATATATTAAAGTTTATTTGTAAAAAATAATATCTTCTATAATATAATGGCTAATAAAACATCTTTAATTAGTGCAACCACAAGGCCACAATATATTTTTGTATCCCGATCCATATAGAAACCATATAGAAACAATGGACGTTGGAAAGAGCTATTTTCCTTACAGAACAACCCGGCTATTTTCCTTGTTACAGGAAAACCCGACCAACATAGAAGCTGGCATCATGGGTTTTCTCTTTATTTGGCATCTCAGGTAAAAGTATTTGAAGACAGTTGGCGATCCTCATTTTAAGCACACTCGAAATCCGAAATTTAAATCCAATTACAAAAGACTATAATCTCGGCGGAAAATATCTTCATGCCGAACTGACTATAGAAAAAATGTTCAATTTGTATGAGCATAAAAAGAAAATAATTTAAAGCAGTTAATAAATGGACTTGTAGGAAAATATTTGAAATGAATTTTATTCTACATTTTCATCAACCACGCAAAAATGCGTGTAAAATATGTCATCTATTAAATATTAAAGTTAAAACATCAGAAAATCATGAATAACCGAAAAACTTAAGAAAGAGCTGTTACTAATCATAAGTTTATTTCTATTATTCAAATTTTTCTCTATTTTAAGGCTATATGTAACAGATATCAGATTTTTGTAACAAACAAAATATTCAATTTTGAACATGACCTAAGTATTTTTACCATTTTACGGTAAGGAAGCTCATATTTTACAAGCAATAATAGCAACCGAATGTATAAAATCAAATCCTTTAAATGAGATTTAACCTCGCAAGTGAAACATATAGGTATTTTACATATATTTGGATTTGGGACAACTAGTGTGAAATTTTCAAAAAATCGAATTTTCAATTTTTTAATATTTCGGTAGGTCATACCTTCAAAAATAGCATACTAAAATTTTAAATCGATATCATAAATAGTTTTTGAGTTACAGCCATTTAAAAGAGTATATATATAGTATATAGTATATAACGATCATTTTATCTTTAAACGCGTTTTTCTCGAAACAGCATTTTCCGAATTTTCTGCAGCGATTACTCAAAAACAAATGATCCGATCACTATCAATTTTTTTTACATGTTCTATATATAGTTTTCCGTAAAATGAACTATCGATTTTTTGATCGGATCAAAAATCGAATTTTGGCAGTCCAAAAACGACCAAAATTTTGGGCAAAATTCGACTTTTTTTTAAAAAAACGCCGCCATTTAATCAATTTTAATTTTTTTTAACTATTTATTAAATAGTTCATTCTACAGACAATATTATCTAGTTTAACGAGAATTTTTTGGATTTCATCCACCTAGAAGGCCGGAATCACTGCAGCAGTGAAAGGCTTTTTTTCGCGCCGTTGGAGAATTACGATGACTTAAAAAATATTTGATTTTTTTCTTCAAAAATTTTACTATGTATTTTTAAAACTTTGAAATGATTGATAAAGTTTTTTTTTAATATAAATTCCCAAAAATCACCTTTTTTAGGTGGTTACACTAGTTGTGCCCCTTAAGTGTTATTATATTCAAGGGGCTGATGTAGAAAGAGTTGAGCGTGAAAACATTCAACTTGTTCTATGCAGTTGTGCTTATTAATAATCAGTTTTTCGAATTTTTTAACAATAACCATAGTTTTTATCGTAATTTGATCTTTTTTATAAAAATTAACTTTATGTTTAAACTAGAAGAATTCGATCTTCAAATTCTTTATGTTCAAACTAGAAGTTAGCATATTAATGAAAAAACTGGTTTGAGCATTTTCTTTAATATCCAAGATTCATCAGGAAGATTAGTCGATTGCGACATCACAAACAACTACACATGCAATTCAGGAAAAATATTAACAATTTCAACTCCTTGTAAATTTAACAATATTTTCACAGATCGTTTTTTCTCTTCATGCCAACCAGAAAAATATCGAATTAACTGTCCCAACTGTCCCAAGGCAGTCAGTTTATTTGGAAAAATATTTGTACGGACTTCGATTAACTTTGGTTTTAGGAAAACATAAATACATAGTATCAGAGTGTCTTTCCAAAATATGGAAAATCAACCCTTTTTATATTGACTTTTGTCCCAACAAGCTTATATAAATATTCATTACATTTTTACCTAAAACAACAATATCGTTTCTAGCCAAGTAGCACTTGGGAACCGAAGTGAAACGTCTTCCATCATCGATCAGAAACTTTTCCTGAAATCTCATCATAGCTGGTAGAATACGGTTATAAAATGCAACTTCGTTGAAGAAGAGTTCAACGCTCCTGAAGGCGTCTCTCCTGGCCGCGCTGTCTGGTAGACATTTGTAAATGATGTACCTTCTCCAAGGGACATTCTGAAGTCCTGGTAAAACTCGAGTGCCTTCTAAGCGGACGCGGTATAGCATGGCGGTGTAGTTGTCGCCTCGTACTGAACCAGGAGATTCCTGATGTGGTAAGTAGACAAAATTTAGAATTAATTTACTATACCAAACTTTTTATAATTGATTAACTTTCCACAGGATAAGTTTTTACCAGAGAATCCGATTTATTACTTTTATGCTTTATCGATGTTTGAAGTAATTCTGAATCGTTTTATACCGAAATTGAAAGAAACTATGTGAATGCATACGTGTATGCATGTATGTGTATGTAAGTCAAAATTGGTTCTTTTGTCGACATTTACTGATTAGTTTTGCGCGACGATCTGCCGAGCTGTTTCTTTAAAATTAGTTAAAAAAATTATAATTGATTAATTATTATAGATACTGTAACATTGTCTATTTTTATAAGAATTATATAAACTAAATTGCAAAATTGAAATTATTTGCTTAATGTATATTACAACTTCAATCAGAATTAAAATTAAAATCTGAAATATTTTCGAAATACAAAAAATAAAATTTTGAAAAAAAAACAAAATTGAAACAATTTTTTTTCAAAAGCAATTATTTCATTAAAACAAGCAGAAAGTTCTTTGAATCACTCAAATTGGACGTTTATTTCTCTCAAAAACTGCCATTTTTTGCACATTTAGCTCTGTGTCTTTGAAATGGCTGGACCACCGATCAACCGAACTGAATAATTCAAAAAGCATTTGATTCGTATTGATAAGGACACGTGCTGATTAGTTTTTGGCTAAGGCAGGTTTAGCCGTTCTGAAGATACGGGGCAAAAAGTGTCAAAAATGGTAACTTATTAGTTTTTAAGAGAACGGAGCGTACGATTTTAATAATTCAAAAAACATTTTACTTCTGTTGACAAGATGAAGAACTGAGTAAATTTTTGGAAGGCAGGTTTAGCGGTTATAGACTCTCAATAAAAATAAGTTAAAAAAATGTCATTCGGCGGTCAAAAATGTTTATTGGACTTATGCACATCAAATTATCAGATATTTCATAGAGATTTTAATAATGTGTACACATTTTGTGTAATTTTTTTTGGTTCCGGTGATTAATTACGGTGCGGAAAGTTCCAGCAATTTTCCTTAAGGCACAATGCCATGCAGCCCACTAGTTTTCCATATTTTTTAAATCAAGGCAAAATCCAAATTAGATATAATTTTTTATTCCAACGACTACCTTTTATAAATAATTTACAAAATTGCATTTGTGAATCGCTTTTCTGGCAATAACTGGTCAACCATTCTGTGAGTCAAATCGGCTCACACCGTAAAAATTGGTTTACCACATTCGGCATAATGTATATTTACATATATTTTATTACATAACTAAAAACCAATGCATGTTTGTGAATTATAAATTTAAGTTTTATGTGTAAGTGATCAAATTTTCATTGAGTCAAATTTGCTCAGTCCGTAAATCTAGTGTTAAACGAGCCCTGATTTTTTAATTCGACTCGACTACGTCGAAGTAAATGCGAACGGAAAATTTCTGTTGCGCCGTACACGTGCACATTTTTATTAACCGTCAGTCCTTTGAAAATAATAAGAGGGACTATAAAAGTGATTGAATAATAAAAGACGTATCAAGTTTTTAATTTTATTATTTTGATCCAAATCTACTATAATCATAACAAAGATTTTAAGTTGTTAATATTTATTTTGTCAGATTTTTTATTATTAACTTAAGCGTGGGGTAAGCTATTGAAATCGTCCAAATATCGAAAATGAACATTTTTGCATATCTTTACGTTTCAGAGGTTTCTGAACATTTTGGCATATCTTTGAAAAAAATGAATGTATGTATGTGTGTGTGTGATGTGTGATGGATACAAATTTTTCGTTAACGTTTCCAGGAGCTGATTAATTTTTGTCAAAATTCGGTCCAGCCGTTTCAGAAATAAAAAGCTAAATATGTAAAAAATGGTAGTCTTTGATAGAACAAAGCCTCCGATTCGCATGACTCAACAAACATTTTCTTTGTGAAGAAACGACTAGTTTATAAAAGCAAAAACATTTTCTCGATAATTTGATGCGCATATGTCTAATGATCATTTTTGACAGCCAAAAGGCAATTTTTTTACTTATTTTTGTTGAGAGTCCATAACCGCTAGACCTGCCTTTCCAAAAATTTAATCAGCTTTTTATCTCGTCAATACAAGTAAAATGTTTTTTGAATTATTAAAATCGGACACTCCGTTCTCTCAAAAACTGGGTTACCGTTTTTGGCACTTTATGCACCGTATTTTTGGAACGGCTAGACCTGCCTTCGCGTCACGTCTCTTTATCAATACGAATCGAAAGTTTTTTGAATCATTGAAATCGGTTGATCCGTGTTCCCAAAATCATCGACGAAAATGTGTATCCGCACATACACACACACACACACATACATCCATTTTTTCTAAGGTATGCCAAAATGTTCAGAAACTTTTGAAGCGCAAAGGTATATAAAAAAATTCATTTTAGATTTTTTTGCGATTACTATAACTTGTCCTACGGGAAGTTAATTTAAGATAAGTTCCTTCATTCTAACTTCGCTTGATCCAGTTTTGTTTATTTACGATCTGTGTGAGCATATATGAATGGTGTCGTTCAATTTATAAGCAGCTATATATTGTCTATTAAATACGAATAATGAAAGTTGCAATAATAATTTACTTGAAATCATTTATTATTCCTCGAGTATTTTGTTACGGTACGGAAAGGTCTAGCAATTTTCCTTAAGGCATGATGCCATGCACCACTAGTTTTTTGTCCAATTCAACTTAATAACTTCCCGTGGTAAGTTATAGTAATCATAATAAGATAGAAAATGAAAATTTCTGCGTATATTTACGTTTTCAGGTCTTCTGAATATTTTAGCTTACCTACCATAGAAAAAATTTATGTATTTGTATGCGTCGTGTATGGATGAATAGGTGTGTTCGGACACAAATTTGCGTAGACGATTTCGGAACACGGACCAACCGATTTGAAGAATTTGAAAAACGATCGATTTGTATCGTCAAAGGCCAGATTTGTAAGGTCAACGGGAAAAAAGTGCAAAAATGGTAATTCAGTTTTTGAGATAACAAAGGGTCTGTTAAATGATTCAACAAAAATTTTATTTGTATTGACAATCAAATCATCTAATATTTTACAGAAATTTTAATAATAAATACAAATTATGTTTACATTTCTATAGATTCAGTACCAAATGTTTAACCCTATATATATATATATATATATATATATATACATATATATATATATATATATATATATATATATATATATATGCATTAGGGCGGTCCTTAATATGGAAATTTTCGAATTCGCTCCCAGGGGCTTAAATGCTTCCAAATTGATAAAAAAATCCTCTTTAAGTAGTAGCTTAATCAAAGTTTTGTATCGAAATAGCATGAAAAAATTTTGCAAATGTTCTTTAGATATAACTTAGCAATTAGAATAAGTTTTGTTGAATATTCGACGCTCTACAAAACAAATTACAAAAAAACTTGTTTTGTAGAGCTTCGGATTTTCAAGAAAAGATGACACGAATTGCCACATTTGTTGCTAAGTTATACCTCAAAAACATTTTTGAAATTTTCGAAATTTTTTCCATGCTATTTCCATAGGAAGCTTTGATTGAATAGCGCGCTATCTAAAAGTTAATATTAAGAGCTAAAACTTATAGAGGATTTTTTATCAATTTGGAAGCATTTGAGCCCCTGGTAGCAATAAAATTCGAAAATGGGCATATTAAGGACCACTCTGATATATATATATATATATATATATATATATATGTATATATAAATATATACTACCATTAATGCTACACATATCTATTATTATTACCTGGTAATCCATTAAAGTAACATCAGGATCAGTGTGCTTAATCAGTTCTTGAAGGAACTTCAAAGAAACTTTAGAAGTCGCCATATTTACGAATTATTTGATCCGAAATCCGTATGAACTTATAACAAATAACAAACTAGGCTATTATAATAATATAACCAAAATTGAATATTTAATTTCGAGAGTAAGAACCTCTACTTTGGCAACGTTTCTCTTCCGCCTTGACAATGTCGCTCGTTGTCACCCACAATTATAATGATTTGGTTTCAGAATGGGTTGACTCTCCTCTTGTACTAATCAACTCAATCATCAATTTAGTATCGTCCAATTGATTTGACGACGCATTCGCTATGCAGTCACCACTCACCAGCACCACATAATCAGATGTCGTGATATTCATATTTGACGTTGCAAATAATGTTCCAGAACAATCCGAATCATTTACACATCGAAAATTCAATCAGTTAACTGCTGCCTTACTATTACCTGTAATTTTTAACCCCCCGAAAAAATTGCCTTAAATTTAACTGTTAACTTTTTGTTATCGTTTATGTTTTCACCAAAAAAATCAGTTTGCTAATTTTATTTTTCCGTTTCAAGTCATTCTGTACCCAATTTGGAAACAAAATGTGTGTGTATATATGACCGAATTTTTAAACTTTCGTCGACGTTTTCTCAAAAACGGCTGGACCAATTTCAAAAATTTGAAAGTATTCATTCGATGTATCTCGATGAGGACTAGCGTTTATCAAATTTGCGCGACGATCAGCCAAGCCGTTTCTTTGTAAATCGTAGAAAAGTGAAAAAAATTTCGTTCAATTTTAGCCCGCAATTCTGAAACAATTTTGAAAATTCAAAAACTGTTCAAAAGATATTGGTTGGGAATCGTGCTCATTAGGTTTTGGTAAAGATCTTCTGGGCCGTTTTCTGTTAATAAAGTGTTAAAAAATATTTTTTGACGATTTTTATAATTTGTTTCTGACGGTAGATACCATAGTCTTATAGATCATACTAAAATATTACGGCTCTACGACAAGTCGTTTAATTTTAAAAAATAAAGTTTGCAGAAATTAGTATAGTTTTTTTGGCATTTGTCAAAATTAGACCTCTGATCGACGTTTTTTCAAAAACGCCTGAACCGATTTCAGAAATTTGAATGCCATATTTGATGTATCTCAATGAGAACTATCGTTTGTCACTTTTGTGAGAAGATCTGCCGACTCGTTTCTTTGTAATTTGAAAAAAGTATTAAACTTTTCGTCCACATTTAAGCTCATACTATCAAATCGATTTTAAAAAATCAAAAATTGTTCGAAAGATATTAGTTCGAAATGATACTGATTAGTTTTAAGTAAAAATTAACTATTGATAAAAAAATTTAAGCCGATTTCTATGGAACTTTTTTTGGCGTTATATATCATGGTCTTATAGAACTTACTGAAATATTACGGCCTTACGATAAGTAGTTTAATTTTAAAAATTCATCAAAGTTTGAGAAAATGAGTTGTTTTTTTTTGACGTTTGTTAAAATTAAAATTAGACGATTCAGACGGTATGACGATAGAGTGTTCGTTCGTTTTCAATTATGTGTAATGAATCCACTCGGAATACTTTTAATCACTTATAAATTAGTTAATTTACCGTAGGACAAGTTATAGTAATCGCAAAAAAATCAAAAATGAAAATTTTTATATATCTTTACGTTTCAGAGAACACGGAACACGGATCAACCGATTTGAATAATTCAAAAAACATTCGATTCGTATTGATAAGGAGACGTGCTGATTAGTTTTTGGCGAAGGCAGGTCTAGTCGTTCCGAAGATACGGGGCAAAAACTGACGAAAACGGTAACTCAGTTTTTAAGAGAACGGAGCGTCCGATTTGAATAATTCAAAAAACATTTCACTTGTATTGACAAGATGAAGAATCGATAAAATTTTCATGAAGGTAGGTCTAGCCGTTTCGGAGATATGGAGAATAAAGTAAAAAAAATGAGCCATTTGGCGGTCAAAAATGATCATTAGACATATGCACATCAAATTATCAGATATTTTATAGAGATTTTTACAATAAGTATACATTTTGTTAACATTCCTATGGGTTTCGTACCAATGCTTATGCCTTAGACAGCGACGTGTTAATCGTTTTTAAAAAAATAATAATTTTTGGTACGGGAAGTTCCAGCAATTTGCCTTAAGGCACGATGCCTTAATTGCCTTAAGACAGAATTCCACTTACAGCTAGTTTATTTTTCTTGATTAAATCGATATTGATACATATCGGGAAGTTCAAGTAACTTTCCTCAAGGCAAAATACCAATACCAACTAGTTTTAAAAGGAATTGTGTCGATTTACTCGTAGCGGAGAGTGTATATAACTTGCCTTAAGCTTGCAACTAGTTAGATCACTTGCAACTAGTTTCATTAATGTATTCTTATATAAATATCATTCATCAATTAAACGATTATTAATTATACATGTTGATCGTTTCTTAAGGCTCAAGCGATTGTGAAAATTTAAAAAAAAATAGATTTTTGAATATATTGATACTTTTCATAAAAAAATGCCAATTAACTTCCCGTAGGGTAGTTATAGTAATGATCTGAAAATCGAAAATGAAAACTATTGCATTTCTCCACGTTTTAAAAGTTTCTGAACATTCTGGAATATCTCATAAAAAATGGATGTGTGTGTGTTTTGTGTGTCCGCATTTTTCGTTCACGTTTTCGGCCCACGGATCAACCGATTTGAATGGTTTAAAAAACATTCAATTTCTATTGATAGGAAGATGTGCTGATTAGGTTTTGGCAAAGGCAGGTCCAGCCGTTACGCAGATAAAGACCAAAAAGTGCAGAAAATAGAAATCGAATGATCTAAAAAACATTCCATTTGTAATGATTGGAAGAAATGGTGATCAGTTTTTGGCGAAGGCAGGTCCAGCCATTTTGAAGATACCGAGCTAAATGTACAAAAAATGGCAGTTTTTGAGAGAAATAAGCATCCGATTTGAATGATTCAAAAAACTTTCTGCTTGTGTTGACGAAACAAATGTTTTTTTGTATAACGAAAATAATTCAGATTTCAATTTCAAGTTGGTTAAAGTTATATATTTTAAGTGAATAATTTTAACTTTGTAATTCAGTTTATATAATTCTTATAAAAATTAGACAATGTTACAGTATTTATGATATTCTATTTGAAAACATTTAATATTGCTCGAACATTTCGTTACGGTACGGGAAGTTCCAGCAATTTGCCTTAAGGCACAATGCCATACACCACTAGTTAACTTCCCGAAGGAGAAGTTTATGTTTTCATAAAAAAATCGATTCGTTAATTTTATGTTTTCTCGGCGTTTCAAGCCATTCTGAATCGAATGAGATCAAATTTGGAAAAAGTATGTGTGTGTGTGTGCGTGTATATGAACAGATTATTTGCCGTAATAACAAATTTCAAAAATTTAAAAGCTATTCGATGTATCTCGATGAGAACTAGCGTTTCTCAGTTTTGTGCAACGATCGGCCGAGCCGTTTCTTTGTAAATCGCAGAAAAGTGAAAAAAATTTCGTCCACGTTTTAGCCCGCAAGTCTGAATCGATTTTGAAAATTCAAAACCGTTCGAAAGATATTGATTGGGAATCGACCTGATTAGTTTTTGGTAAAGATTGGCCGGGCCGTTGTTTGTAATAAAGTGTTAAAAAAAAATCGACAATTTTTATGATTTTTTTTTGACGGTAGTAACTATAGTCTTATAGATCATACTGAAGTATTACGGACCTACTTGTTTAAGTTTAAAAATTTGTCAAAGTTTGCAATTTTTTTTAATTACAATATTTATCACAACTGTTAAATAATTTAACATCTAGTAATAATAATGAACAATAAGATAAATTTAAATAAAAAAGTACAAAATAAAGGATAGTATTTACAATAAAATGATATCCGTAGTATGATGATTTAATATAAAATAAAAGTAAATAATAATAATAAAATTAATAAATAAAATAAATAAAATTTCTGAATAATAAAAAAAATATTAGAAAAACAATAAAGTAGAATAAAAACAATAAGTGACAGATAATAATAAATATAACAAAAATTAGTATCGTTTTTTGGCATTTGTCAAAATTAGACCTTCAAATCGACTTTTTCTCAAAAACGCCTGAACCGATTTCAGAAATTTGAAAGCCATTTGATGTATCTCAATGAGGACTATCGTTTGTCAGTTTTGTGCAGCGATCTGCCGGGCTGTTTCTGTGTAATTCGGAAAAAAGTGTTAAACTTTTCGTCCACATTTAAGCTCATACTACCAAATCGATTTTAAAAAATCAAAAACTTTTCGAAAGATATTAGTTGGGAATGATACTATTGAAAAAAAAATTAATCCGATTTTTATGGAACTTTTTTTGATATCTTGGTCCAGTGGCGTCGTAACCCGTGAATTTTGATGGGTAGACAAGCCCGCACTGGCTGCCTAAAAAAAAAAAACAAGACTACCCATCAAAAATTTGCTTCCGACGCCACTGTCTTAGTCTTATAGAACTTACTGAAATATTACGGGCTTACGACAAGTAGTTTAATTTTTAAAATTCATCAAAGTTTGAGAAAATAAGTAGTTTTTTTTGACGTTTGTTAAAACTGAAATTAGACGATTTACTTGGTATAGCGATAGAGTACTTGGTCTTAATGAACATACTATATCATGAAAGTCCTATGAAAACTGGTTTAATTATGAAAAATTCAGATTTTTTTAAATTTGCTTTTAGAAAATACTTCGAGTTAACGTATGTGTTCGTTTCAATTATGTGTAATACTTTTAATCACTCATAAATTAATTTATTTTTTATAGATTAAGTCGATTATATACACATATCGGAAAGTTCATGTAACTTGCCTCAATGCAAAATACCAATACCAACTAGTTATTTTACTGTTTCGGAAGTTTTTCAACTTTTTATATTTTTATGACCTTTATAAAACGAAATTAAATAAATGTTTAGAATTATATCAAAGTATTATTTTTTAATTAACCATATTTTTATAACCAATTCAAGTATATTTGTCAAGGCAACGCGAACAAAAATGTATGCTTCGAACGCTATCACGGAATAATGTACAACGACTCCCAGCATTATGTTCACGAATCGAATTTTATCACGGAATTAGGGACAAATTCGTGGTTCAGCAAAATGCCGATTATTTCTATAAATAAAATTCTACGCCGCAAAATGTTGTTCTATGATGATCTTATAAGTCTAATTTATAAAATAGAGCTGTTTTAGCTCGTTCACATTCCTACTTTATTTACAAATCGTCTTTAAAGTCCTTAACATCCCGTAATATGTACCATATTCACTATAATGTAACATATGATCAAATAATTATATTTTTGCTAAAAGTCGGTATTTCTGATTAAAATAAATTGATTCATTTAAAAAAAAATTCTCATTCAAAATACATATAAGACAGTGCTAATATATGCATATATAAAACACCAATTAATTCAAATATTATCATTATTATTTAAAACATACAGAACAAAATAAACTTAAAGCGTATGTGTTAGTATTGCAACTCAATGTGTTCATTATTATTAATATTTTGTACATTTACCAATCAATCATCAATGTACATTTCATAATTAAATATTATATAAAAAATTAAATTATCTCTTACAAACAATAAAAAAATTAATACTCATTGGTCTAACAGCAGTATTCAAGCAGAAACATGAAAACATTTTTGTATTGAAATTGTTGGCAGTATTTTAACTTACTAAGTGAGTTGAGAAGGCAAATACTCATTATCATGGAATATATTTACATCATTACCATATGTGTTACCATATTAAGAAAATTGAGACTTATAGATACATTTATTCTTAAAACACCTGTAGATTCATCAATAAATTTCCAAATAATATTAATAGGTATTATTATTAATAATAGCCTGGTTGAATACCACTGAATTTCTACTTAAGTATACCACGCACTTGCAATTAGAAAATAAATTAAACTTTAGACACAACTATAATTCAAGTACACATATAATTCTAGATGCGTATTTTTATCCAGGTAAAAGTTAAAAGAAAGTTGCACGCAAGATTTATATCAGCTCAAGAAGATAATACTTAAGTATTATTAGTTATAAATTTATAACATATCACATTTGATCAATTTCATTCCATTTTATATAAAAAACATTAAAAAAAAACATTGCTTAAAATATAAATCTTTCAAGTAATTTAAAAACTTTTTATATCAAACAATGCACCTGTAATATGTTGATTATTTGAATAGATATTCAAAAAATCCTTCTACACACTTGCTTTTTGAACTTCTGATACCAAAATATTATTAATGAATTATTTAATTATCTAGACAAATTATATTTTAATCAGATCAATACAGATTAATTAATTTATCAAATAGTACATTGATGCAACTTGTTTCCTTTATGTAAGGCATTTTTTTGCAAAACAGTAAGTCGTATTTAGTTCTGAAATAATATTAGATAAGTTTTTCCAAAAGTAACTAGAATATGAACTGGATTAAAAAAAAACATTACATTATGAAACACTAAACATCTAAAACTGCATGTGGACTTAAATTTTAAGATTATTCTCAGATTTTATTGTTATATACAAATTATTATTTTCAAACTCCATAAAATCTAAATTATAAAAGAAATCATTGTTATAGATAGACCTAACATAATTTAATTCTTATAATCAGTGATGTGCCACTTCAAACTTTTTTTAATTCAAATTAAAAAAACTTGATTCAAATCAATTCGAATTAAGCTTATATATAGATCATTATAAGCTAAAAAATGTTCTACTTATGTATTTATTTAGTAAATGTGATTAAAATTTATTGTAAAAAGTGTAAAAGTTTACCTATACATTGGACAAAGTAAATTTTGAACATAAATTACTAATGAATAAAATATATTACAAAAATCATTGTCAGTAATTCGCAATTACTTCAACAAATATAACCAAAGATTTTTGAAATTGAATCACTAAAGTATATAAATATTTATATATTTAGGTGATTTAGAAGAATTCGCTCGACTGAATCTAAAAGAAAAATTTAAATCATTTGATTCAATTGGCAAATCACTAGTTATAACAAGTTTGCAAAGATGTTGTCTATTAGATAACTCATCAGATAATATAACTCTGTCTAACAATATGTTAATAATTAAATCTGAGAATCATCCTCATAATATCAATTTCTATAATACAAAGTGTCTCAATATCAATCTGATATCACAAATCACAATCATATAAGAGGTAATGCACGTTCTCATGAAATATGTCCATTTTTCAATTTCTTATTCTATTTATATCATTTATATAAAATATCATTATAGCAAAGTTTCTTACTATTCACAACTAAACTTACTCTTTAAGGTACATTCAATTAACAAGTCTTTTTCGATGTGGTGTGTGAGTTGATATCAACTAATTATACGTTTACTAAATCAATATCTAAGTTAAGGCTTGGTTCACACGTGGGATACCAAACCTCGAGAGGTCTTTGAGTTTTGGCAATGGCCTTTTGGCCCACACATTCACATCACGCATTTGTTTAGCACTTTCTTCTAAGTCTTCCACTTGTTTAATCATTGGGTAAACCTATGAAACAAACAGATAACATGATTACAAACAGTTTGCAGTTATACCTATTTGATTATTATTACTCCAACAAACTATTTGATTTATAAGTGACATTTCTTTATATCATAGTTTCTACAGAATTTTATTGAATTCAAGATTTTGTCGATAATTGTAAATGTTGCTGCCATTTTTGTTGGAGAAAGAGACACAATTTACATGAGAGAAATAGAGGCCAGTTTTGGTCTCATCCTTACTCGGTGTCGTTTTCGGGGATGTACCGATAAAACTTAACAACTGTCCAGAAAATTCGAATTAAAACTCTCAAAAATAAACTATCTCGATATTTTAATAAAAATATTTTTTTACTTAAATTTTTTTTAATCTAAATAAACTGAGAAATATCTACAAATATATGATGATGATGATTGATTAGTTATCAAGCGGATAAAAAATACTTAATTACTAAAATGACTATTATGAAATAGTAGTTGGTGGTAGAAAAGTGAAAATTAAGGGTTGTATAAATTTTTCATTCCTCTTTATGCAAATATATAATATGTATACATAATACAGTAATACCCCGCTCAACGCTCTTTCGATTTAGCACTCTTTTATTAACTTCCCGTAGGTCAAATATAGTAAATTTTTATATATCTTTACGTTTCAAAACCTTCTGAACATTTTGGCATACCTTATAAAAAATTGATGTATGTGTGTGTGTGTGCGTGTGTGTATGTATGTTCGGATACAAATTTTCGTCCAAGATTTCGGGAACACGGATCAACGATTTGAATAATTCAAAAAACATTCAGTTCGTATTAATAAGGAGACGTGCTGATTAGTTTTTGGCAAAGGCAGGTCTAGCCGTTCCGAAGATACGGGGCAAAAAGTGCCGAAAACGGTAACTCAGTTTATAAAAGAACGGAACGTCCGATTTAAATAATTTAAAAAACATTTTACTTGTATTGACAAGATGAAGAATCGATCAAATTTTCATGAAGGCAGGTCTAGCGGTTTCGGAGATGTAATAAAAAAAGTAAAAGAAAATGCCATCTGGCGGTTAAAAATGATCATTAGACATATGCACATCAAATTATCAGATATTTTATAGAGATTTTAACAATAAGTATAACATTTTTTACATTTCTATGGTTTCCCTACCAATGCTTATGCGTTAGACGGCGGCGCGGCACTTGCGCGCTTCGATATTTCGTCTTTATGCAGTTCAAGCAGTACGATTGCTTTGAAAAAAAGTTCAGAATTTTCAAAATATGTCAAAATGAAGAAAACATTTTTCTTTTCAAAAAATTTTGTTTTCAAAAAAAAAATTTTTTTTTTAAAGTATTTTTTTGTCAAATTTATAGTTTCTCAAAAATCTAATTTTTTCGAAGTAAAATGTTTTCAAAAATGTTAATTGTTTTTAAAAAAATAATAATTTTTGGTACGGGAAGTTCTAGCAATTTGCCTTAAGGCACGATGCCTTAATTGCCTCAAGACAGAATTCCACTTACAGCTAGTTTCAACCCAAGTTTTCAATGGGCAAATATGAAAGATATCGAAGAAATAATTCAAGAAGCAGCGGCTATTCTTTCTAATGATGAGCTCTGAATTAACTGAACAAGATATTTTTCAATGTCGTTTGTAAAAAAGAGCTTGTCTATCATAAAGGAAATAATGGATCAATTTATTGAAAATGATCCAAATTTTGACAGGAGCTCAAAAATAAGGCGTGGTGTTAGAGATGCTCTATCCGTTTGTGGATAACTTTAAGAGAAAAAGACAAACAACATTAGATGCTTTTGTCACAAAAAGACAGAACACTGAAAACGCGGAAAGCTAACTAAATATGACTGACTTAGAATTTTATTTGTTTTTGTTTTTAAGAATATTCGTTATGTTAATTATAATTTGTTACTATTTGATACATTTTTGCAAAAAATAATAATGTGGTTTTAATTTGGGCTTCAAGAAATGAATGTTTGGTTGTATTATTATTTAATATCTTAGGTAATTAAATACCTTTTCCTAGCAATCTTTTTCTAACCCAATATTTCCATGTATTTCTCGTTCTGCGCTGTTTTGCATTACGCTCTACTTAATGGAACGTATCACCCGCGTTAAGCGGGGTATTACTGTATATATTTCAATTCATAATAATGACATGCATTTTATTTAAATCAGCACACAAATTAAATAAAAATTGTGCATTTCTGACAAACCTTCTGCTCCACCCATTCTGCTATCGTAAAGTCATCAAATATATCTTCCATTGCATTTGGCGCAGAACGCGCGACTGAAGTCAAACTGGCCAAAATGTGTGAGGAATCGGCCATAAGTTCATCTATGCGAAGAGGTGCTGAATAATTTCTGAAATATGCAAATTAACTCTTAAATATTACATAAAATCAACTTCCCGAAGAAGAAGTTTAAGTTTTCATCAAAAAATCCGATTCACTATTTTTAAATTTTCTCGACGTTTCAAGCCATTCTGAATCAAATGAGACAAAATTTGGAAAAACTATGTGTGTGTGTGTATGTGAACAGATTTTTCGCCGTAAATCGACGTTTCCTCAAAAACGGCTGGATCGATTTCAAAAATTTAAAAGCCATTTGATGTATCCTAATGACTAGCATTTATCAGTTTTGCCGACGATCAGTCAAGCCGTTTCTTTGTAAATAGCAGAAAAGTGAAAATTTTTTCGTCTACGTTTTAGCCCGCCGTTCTGAATCGATTTTGAAAATTCAAAAACCGTTCGAAAGATATTGACTGGGAAAGAAGTTTTTAGTAAAGATCGGCTAGGCCGTTTTCTTGTAATAAGGTGTTAAAAAAACGACGATTTCTATGATTTTGTTTTTGACGGTAGATACCATAGTCTTATAGATCATACTAAAATATTACGGCCCTACGACAAATCATTTAATTTAAAAATTCATCAAAGTTTGCAAAAATTAATATAGTTCTTTTGGCGATTGTCAAAATTAGACCTTTCATCGACGTTTGCTCAAAAACGCTTGAACCGATTCCAGAAATTTAAAAGCCATTTGATGTATGTCGGTAAGGGTTATCGTTTGTCAGTTTTGTGCGACGATCTTTTTAATTTAGAAAAGGTGTTAAACTTTTCGTCCACGTTTAAGCTCATACTACCGAATCGATTTTAAAAAATCAAAAAACCATTCGAAAGATATTAGTTGGGAATGATACTGATTAGTTTTAGGTGAAAATCTACCGAACAGTTTTCTTGTAAATAACTGTTGAAAAAAAATTTGAGCCGATTTTTATAGAACTTTTTTTGGCGATATATATCATGGACTTATAGAACTTACTGAAATATTACGACCTTGTTGACAAGTAGTTTAATTTAAAAAAAAAATCAAAGTTTGAGAAAATGAATAGTTTTTTATGTTTGTTGCAATTAAAATTAGACGATTTACTTGGTATAACGATAAAGTACTAGGTCTTATTTAACATACTAAACCATTAGAGTCCTACGGAAACTGGTTCAATTATAAAAATTATTGAAATTTGAATATTTTCATTTAGAAAATACTCCGAGTTAACGTGTTCGTTCCTTTTCAATGATGTATAATAAATCCACTCGGAATAATTTTAATCACTCATAAAGTAATTTATTTTTTATTGATTAAGTCGATTATTTACACATATCGGGAAGTTCATGTACTTGCCTCAAGGCAAAATACCAATAACAACTAGTTAAATTTATTTCTACTACCTTCGAATATTATAATCGGTCATCCAAGCCCTATTGACCTTCGTGGTTTCCAAAAAAGTTTGCGTTTCTGAATGGGCCATTTCCAATCTCTGAATCAACTTGAAGAATTGATGACCAGGGAACAAACATCGACTGAAGGCAGAATACAAGTTCGGATCTGAATTCAAATCAATCCAGTGCCTGTGACTTTAAGAAAAATAAAGATTATGAGTAATGCACAAAAGAAAGGATAGAGGTAGAAGGTAGTCTTTCTTGTTTAAACTCTATAATAAAATTATATAAAGATTTTTTTCTACACCAATGCTTACTACCTATCACTGCCTCCGCTGGGTTCAGGGCACGTCAGGGCCGTATTGACGGCATCTAGTGCCTCCTTGTCCACTCGGCCCTTAGAGCAGATGGCTAGACACATGGCCATCACTGGTACAGCCGATGGAAGCAATTCACACAGAACTGCGAAGTGATCATAACGCTGCCAGCCGGTCAAAACGATACCTAAAAATATATATACATAGATTTATATACTGCTCATGTAATTCAATCTTACTACCGACAATAGAAGACTGAAAAGGATATGGCCATTCGATTTTATGTAAACTGTAAGTAAGATATATCACTGGATTATGTTATATAATATCATACTTATTCAAATGTACAGTTTAGCTCATAGAAATTATTTTTGTATTTCTGATTGCTAAAATGAAATGAAATAAAAAAAATGTAATACAAAAGATGAGTTTCTGTACAAAGTTAGAAAATGTATCAAGAAAAACTATTTTTTGAGAAGCGACATTTCACAACAGACTTTTTATGATAATTTTTTTTTTTGACTTTATATATCATGGTCTTATAGATTGTACTACAATATTACGTCCTCACGACAAGTCGTTTAATTTTAAAAATTTGTCAGATTTTGAAAAAATTAGCAGCGTTAATTTGGCGATAAAGTTCATGCACTATGAAAATTGGTTGAATCAAATAACTTAACTAGCTGTAAGTGGAATTCTGTCTTAAGGCAATTAAGGCATCGTGC